TATCAGGGTAGTGGAAAGTTTTGGGGCCTGTGCCACAAAAACTTAAGTTGACCATAGTTCCAGTCATCTGATTGGTCAATCACTACAATTATTCAAATAATTCTAATAAGTTTTGAACTATCAGATGATGGTGATTCTAAAATTATGACTATCTTTCAGGGAGAGGTTCTAGGTCTCCATGTCTCAAAAAGAAGTATGTGCAAATTTTCACATAAACTGAAAAAAAGCTGGCATGTGCTACCCTTTTAAGTGAAAAATATTCACATAAAATTTCAGACTTGACAGAAATCTCAGATTTTTTGAGAAATGGAGACCAGATTTCAATTTCAACCCTTGATAAGTGAAGAATTCTTTCATCAAACTTGAGGATAATATTGTTAATGAAAAAGACCTGTACATTACCTTGAAGACATGACACTTAACAATACCTGGTTGTTTTCTTATCAATGACCCACTCTCTTCTATATTCTTATCCATTTCTCATCTTATCTCGACTTCAACCCCTACCTACACCTTTTATTCTTTCTGACAGCAGATTAAGGTCCCAAACTTAATTTTTAAAGAAATTATCAGATTGGGCATCCTGAAGACATTCTGATAGGACCTATGGCATTTCAGGAATCTCTCCTAACTAGACTTTCCCTTGGATTTATACTTCTTAAAATTATGTGTTGCTTATCAGACATAATTTATATGACTTTCCTCAAGACATTCTGCAGGTTCTTGATCTCTAATCCCCTAACTGAAATGATGTTTTACTGTGGTTCCATAAACACCTATCTCTGTCTGACTCTATTGTCAAGATATTTCATCATTTCAGACCCTGGTGAATCTATTAACAGGTGTAATTCTTTATCAGACTTTATCCAGCACTACAGTACTCTTAGTAAACATAACCTTCAGGCTCACAAGTTTTGATCAAGAAAAAATGCTACTCAAACCCTCTTCACCAGCAGAATATTTTGGGACATCTATCACAAATAAAGACCAAAGACAAATCCAGTTGTTCCTAATTAGTGGAAAATAATTAATATTCACCTTAATCAACAGTTTGTTCTAATTAAATCCAGGAGTAATATTCCATAAAATTCTGTTCCGTTATTTAATGTGATCTCTACCCCTAAATATCACTAAAGGATCAATTAGGGAAAGTAATTAAAGATATGGTTAACGAGGTCTAGAGGCTACCCTTGTTTATTAAGATGACAATAATACAAGATGGAGATATAATGATACAAAGTTACACAAATATAAAACAACACGACAATAACAAATTACACATATTAATCTTAAACACGATTTACAGGTTCTCTTAACACAATTCTTATATAGTTATCTCCCTTTGATTAATTAATTTTACAGAGTTGTCTTTCTTTATTACACTACATACATAGGAAAGTTTTACTGCTTTTCAAAGCCTATCGAAATTACACTTAAATTCATGATTAAAAAGCTTATACAATTAATTACTGTACATAAGACTGGAGTTGTTCATCTTTTTTCTATAAATTTTTGAAATTTTTCTTAATTAGCACTTACATTACATGATCTTTGACAAAAAAAAATTGTCTAGCACTTTCCGAATACCTAGTTAATTTTTCAAACTAAAAAATGAATAAAGGGATATAACTCTTATATTCTTCTTGATCGAATTCTTAACTACAGCTTCTTGATTGACCTTTGAGCTCTTAGAGACTACCTAAAGGGTAAAGGTGAAAGGTCAAAGTTTAAAATGATGAAAAAGGAAGGAATAGACACAATCTGATAAAAATACAGAAAAAAATTTGGGTGAATTTGACAAAAAAAACACCGATAATCTATTTAGAAGTTTAGATTTTTACAAGTATGAAAATGAAATGAAATGAATGGAGGATAGTGCCCTACTCTTCTACAAGTCCGAATAACAGACTGAAATTAAAACTAGCTCCAACCCAAATATTCATTTTCACCAGCAAACAAATACCAAATATGAAACGAGCGAAAAACTTCAGCCAAAAATGATTTATTGTTCTTGATATATATTTGGTCAAAACACAAAAACAGATTTTAAATCTAGATTTATTGACCAATCAGATCAAAGTATTTCTAGAATTTTTGATTAAAAACTTGGTTTCTTTCCGTTTTGGTCTTAAATAGTTACAATTGGAGACTAGCTCCGAACTTTTAATCAAGTCGAAACTAGAAGGAAAGGAATTTTGAAACATGGTTACCATGATGAAACATAGAAAATAGAAACTGTATTTTAATCAGATTAAACTAGAGGTGAACTTATCATGAAAAATTCTAAAATAGTGTTTCTAAAACAGATATATATTGGGATTGTTCAAGTGACTGAACTTTCAGAGAGTCCACATAGTTAATATTGTTTACATAGTATTTAAGGTGTATCAACTCCATATCCCTTACAATCTTATATAATCTCTTATTATATTTATCTTTGTCAATTCATTGACTCCACATAGCCATTAATGTTTTTTACTTTCACTTGATCAATCCCAATATGCACTATTTTGTGAAAGAAAAATGATAAAAATTATCAAATAAAGATTTCAAAATCACCAAATACCAACCTGTAAATCGTGCCACGATTACTTTTCAACATTTTAACGTCGGTTATAACCTCCATAGTTACCAGCGCCTCCTCCTCCATAGCTACTGTTACCATAGTTACCTCCTCCTCCATAGTTACCACCACCACTACCATAGTTACCACCTCCGCCATAGTTACTGTTACCATAGTTACCACCACCTCCACCACTACCGTACCCGGCTGAAACACAGAAAAAAATAAAAATTCTGTGAAAAGATCAAAACTTTACAAAATGTTAAGAAATTAAATCTGTTCACAACTCTAGTCTGATACTTGCTGACTCTAAACACTCTCTGATAAATATTTTAAAAGTTACAGCCCTCATGTGAAAAGTTTATTAGCTGCTACCAATGTATTGCCAATATCTTGTTTTGGATTTTGGATTTCGTTTTCTGGTTTGGATCATTAGTTCTTGGTTTATTTATTGTAAGTTCACCATGTCTCAAAAAGGAGAGGAGGTTTTATGGCGTTTTATTAACCACTTCTGTTTTCTAGAGTAATAATCAGCAAGTTTCAGCTCCTTCTGACTTCCAATTCTGGTCTAAATTATTGGATTATTTTTGCCTTTCCATAAATTTAGACAAGACTCAACTTTGATGACTTGAAGCCAGATCAAGTATCATCACTCTACACTTCTTTCAGAATTTATAATGATTATCATTCGTAGTGGAACAAATCTCAAACAAACAAAACCACAACCTTGGTTCATCATTTTCCGTCTCGACAACGAAACGAAATCAGACGTTGAAACGATTGTGACTTGTTCATGAGATTTGCTCCCCTTGATTCAAGCCTGTATAATTTCTGAGAAAAGTGTAAGCAAGAACTTACAACCATACGGGCCCCCATTTTCCCGTTGACTGTAATTTCTGCCACCCCTCATGGCCCCACCTCCGTAACTGTTTCCGTAACTCGAACTAAAGTCTCCGCCTCCCGAAGCTCCGCCCCAATTTCCACCTCCTCCACCGCCTAAAAAACAAATCAGAAATTTACAAATTGGAATCCTCCATTCTGACCTAATTACAGGGACTCTACTTGATCAAACCTCTTAGCAATGATTTTACAGTCATAATTTAGATACTCAAAGATCTTTTCAACAAGCCCGTCCTGGGTCTAATGTATTGACAACTATTTAACAAAGATCTATCTCTTGTCACTGGTCCATTGTGTATATGCTTGCATTGGAATAGAAATTATTAAGACAGCTCAATGACCATTGTTTTTTTCTTGATAAAAACTACAAAGATTGGCTGTGCTACATATCCTAAACAATAGACAACAACCATTTCAAATTGATGGAGCCAAATCAAGACAACTAGAGAAATTTTAAATGAAATGAAACAAATGTCCTACTATTCTGCACTATGTGGGCTAACAAATATGGTTGAAAAAAATCAAAATCTTACCTTGATTATACCCGCCTCCGTACCCGCTGTCATATCCTCCGGACCCCCAGTTGTTGTTATAGCTACCACCCCCACCCCCTGCATATCCACCTTGGTTACCATAGCCACCACCATATCCACTTCGACCTGTTAGTAAAAATCAACATCAATTTTAGGAAATAAGAAAATATACACAAGACACTGACCAGGAATTATTCCAGGGCCAGGGTATCTGCTTAATTTTAATTTTGAATTACAGTTGTGTATGGGGACATTTTGCCAATTTGCCTGGATAGCAGCATTTGCTGACTCTTCTCTTTCCAACTGAACTGAAAGATCTTCTGAAGTGCACTTCCGTCTGTATAGATAAGTCAAAAAAGTTGCAGAATAGTGTGACTCAAAGCTCCATTCATGTACTACTTGTAGAACACAGTGCCTCAGTTTATAGTCACACTAAAGATTATTTCCATGATCCCCATTGGGAACAAGATAAATCAAAACTGAATTTAACGTACCCCCAAAACCTCCTCCTCCAAATCCTTGACCTCTGCCAAAACCTTGACCTCCAAATCCTTGGTCCCCACCCCATCCCTGTCCCATACCACCCATCATTCCCCCACCCCGAGCTGCCCTTGCTGCCTTTTCTTCTTTGTTCTCAGCCTTCTTCACTTCTACATTGCGGCCATTTAAATTGTGCACCTTCTTTACTGAAATGAAAAAATCAAGTGTAAAAGTCTAGAAAGTATTTTCTACTCAAGTTGGGCCAAACCTTCAGTAACATTTGAATCACAAAGAAATATCTTCCGTTTTTGTCCATAACTGTAAAAAGCCTTGCCTTTTGGAGTGTTAACAAGCTATAATTCGAAGAACAAGGGCAATTACTGATATAAACGATTTTATTGACTTCACAAGTTACACACATGCTCCATTTTTCTTAAGCTTTTGACTTGTAGTAATGATTTTGTGATTTCAAAAACGAAACCTTTGAAGAAGCCGTGAAAAAGCATTGAAAAGTGTGAAGGTTACTACATATATTTTTCCTGAGATTTATATGCCTCAAGGCTAAAATATGACAATTTTTTCAACTTACAGACACATTTGTCGACGGAATCATAATCTTTAAAAGTAACGAAAGAAAATCCTTTTGTTTTTCCAGTAGTACGATCTTGGATGAGGTCAATTTTTTCGATTTCTCCGTAAGGACTGAATGTTTCTCTAAGGTGATCTTCTGTTGTGTCGTCTTTACAACCACCTATAAATAACTTGGTGACAGACTGCTGAGATTCAGATCGACCAGACTCCTACAACAGAAAACAACGAATAAATCAGTAGGTCTTCACCCATAGGGACATGTCTCCAAGTGGGGGCATTTACACTTTTCTTTGGAGACATTTGATGAGTCTCGGTCTATGAAGGAAAAAAACAGCCTACCATTATATACATCTCATATGACTACACTATACTTGGCCTCAGCTAATATTGTCTCAGAAAACAATGAATAAATTAGAAGGTCTTCACCCATAGGGACATGTCTCCAAGTAGGGGGCATTACCCTTTTCTTTGGGGACATTTGATGAGTCTCAGTCTATGAAGGAAAACTAACTAACTACATTATATACATCTCATATGACTACACTATACACAGTCTCGGCTAATATTGTCTCTGGAGTTTAGTTTTAACTCTACTTTCAGTCGTACATCGTATATAAATATTTCAAACTGAAGCAAATCAGTGCCAACACTCACTCTGATGATCAATAAAAGATAAAACAAACCTCGCGAGGCATGGCCCGTTTTGTTTCTGTTTCTCTACCATCAATTTTATGAGGTCGATTTTCCTGAGCATCATCCAACATGGCCGCTTCTTTAAACGTGACAAATCCAAATCCTCGAGATCTGAAATAAATTGAAGAGTTTACTGCTTGATATTTACAAACAATATACAACATATTAACTGGTTTAAACATTTAAAACAATGCAAAAAAAATGATGCATTTGATTTATATATTTTGACTAATGATTTTTATTCAAATCAAACAGTAATCTCTGCACCTATTAGGCTAATGAAAACAGATTCTAATTAATTTAACAATAGAGTTGAAATATTAGGCAGTGTGCAATGAGGGAAATATATTTGTTCTAATGTCGACCTTGAAAAGGTTAACCTTTTGACCTCACCTGATAAACACTGGAGAGGGTGGATATTTGATTCGTTAAAGCAGACGTCATTAAGTTAATAGGTTAATTTGACAAACGTTCAAGAGAGCTGTTCTTAGACCAGAACTGAAAGTTTAACTAACCTTTTAGAATTTGGATCCTTCATAACTACACAATCAACAATTTCACCATATGTTTCAAAATGTCCTTTCAAACCTTCAGTCGATGTTTCATAACTCAAACCACCAACAAACAGTTTACGAAATTGTTCATGTTCAGGGTCAAGGTGGTCTTCGTTGCCACTCCCACTGAATCTCCCACCCCCTCGTCCTCCTTTCATTCCCCCACCCATACCATACCCACCACGACCACCTCCTCTCCCATACTGAAAGAGAACAAATAAATGATTTCAATAGAAATGTGAAAGCAAAACTCTAGACTAAAAACACAAAAGTACCAAAGAAATTCAATGATCAATTTAAGGGACTAGTGCGCCATTCTTTTTGACCAATCAAACAGGAATTTTTAGCCAAGCCAATCAGTAATAGTGTTCACAGCTCACCGTTGAAATTGAGCCTTCAAATCTATGTGTGGCCGTGTTTGAATCCTAAAATGACGACTCGTCAATTTAAGATACTCTGTGATATATAAATCAACCCCCCAAAATGGCACACCTGTCCCTTTAAAGTACATTATGGTGTATTTAATGTCTTGACCCATCTTCACCCATGATGACAATATAAATTGTTGAAACATGTAGAATAAAACTAAGTTGCAGTATACCATAAAACAGTTTACTATTATTTAATGTGATTTCTACCTCTAAATGTCACTTAAGTATTGCATTCGCAATAGTGAAGGTAAAATGAAATGATTGTACACTACAGAATACAGCCAAGCAGAGACCGAAACACTGATAACATTATGGCTTAATATTAACAGATTGGCTGTATTCAATAGCGTACAATCCAATCAAATCACTGCATTTACAAACTTCTGTAATACAAGAGAGGTGGCTATAACAGTCAAGGTATAAGTACGAAGTGGATGGATCTTATTTATCCAAACCATATGTCCACAATATAAGTAAAGCTCGATAAATAATGAAGAATTAGAGAGTTCTATTAAATTAAGATTCAACAACAAAAGTTAACTTGTGTCATTGTGGACAAGATGAATTCATCAGGACCTGTTGGTTAGTGGGCCAATTTGACACTTTCGTCTTTCTCAACACATCAAATAAATAATGTAAACAAAAGAAAATTTAGCCGGACCGAAAACGTAAATTCTACTATATTTCAAATGCGTAGGCTAAAAAGTTAATATCATTCGAAATATATCATTGCCAAGCACCTGGAGCACTGTCCATTTTGAGATTCAAATACTTACTTCGGGCATTTTTAAAAGATTTTTACTCTTTCTACAAAATAATGGCTTCACAAATTCGGAAAATAAACATGGGGAATGTCACGTGATTAATTAATATCCGTAGATGTCGAACGGAAAAATCATTTGTGGAAAAAACGATTTTTTTCAATTTTCAGGCAATTAAGAATAATAATTGCACCTAGCAATGAAGCAGTATAAAACTCTGGATTGTGTACAGACGATATTTTAGGGTAGATTGCAATATTTGCTTCAAACGGAATATGACGGATTTTACCGGAAATTTCCCCGCGAAAATGACCGTAATGAATTCCCGGAAATCAGTTTAACGCATGCGTTGAAGAGAAATCGGAGAGAAGAAGTGAGACAAGAATAAGAAAGGAATTAAAAGTGCCGAATTTTCAATTATTTTCCTGAATTTCACCAACAGACAATCTGTAATTCTAATAATTGCTTTTTAAATATTCCATTTTTATAAGTTTTGTTTCCATCTGAATTGTACAAACTTCAAAATAGATCTTTCAAATGCTGTCGTGGTTAAAAGGTTTCCAAAATGGCGCCTAATAAAAATAGTTTATTGTATGACAGTGAAGTACACGCAGTCAGGAACTGCTTCTTATCTTGGTTATTTGTGGTTTCGCTCTTTGAGATATAGAGTTGTTATCTTGACACCAAAAAATGATCACCTGATCATTTCTATGTTTGAAAAACAGACAGACATGTAGACAAAGTAGTCCACTCAAACGTCAGTCTGACAAAACTCAGACCAGACAAGGGTTTATTTCTGACTGCACCACACTGTCGACAAGGAAAGTGTAGAATAATATAAATTTGTAGACCTAATAAATTCTGTGACTTCAAAATTTTGCATAGGTTCTCTATGACAATTAGACCAAGCCTCCATGTCCAATGCACTTGTCTGCCAATCTTGAATATCGCTTATTGAATTCCATGAATAAGTAATGATACAGTACAATTCAAAAAGCCTCTGAAGCAACACGCCAATTTGGTACTTTCTGTGTACAAAACAATGTCAATTTAACATGGCAGTCTGTAGACAGGGATCTTGTACAAAGGGTTCACTGCATTGACAATCGTCAGACTGGTGATATACGCTATTAACTGAGCAACCTAGCTTTCAAAAATGATAAATGGATAATTGTCAATGTAGTTAACACTTTATATTGCATCCTTTTCCATTGCTGGCCATAGACGGCCATGTTAAAGAAGGGAAGAAGCTTGTTACTGAATTGGCTTATTTCATTATTTAACAAATTTAAAGAAATAATGACTTGTTTACGCTTGAATATTACATTACTGTCAACAATCACTGTTACGCAGTCACAAATCACGGGCCCTTAAACATCTCCAACCACTTGCAACATACGCATCAGCTTGAGTAGGTCTAAACAAAATAGATAAACCGTCACAAATTTGTAACCATTTCGAGTATCATCTTCGTTGTAACTGCTCACAGGGATTCCAGAAAATTAATATTTGAATTAAGAAAATAAAATGAAAATGTTGAACATTTCAGGAAATAAAATGGAGGTAGAAAAGGTTGAAGTTGCTCCCCCTGCCCCAGCTGAAGAGGAAGAAGAAGAGTTTACAGTAGAAAAAGTTGTTGACAGACGAATGAAGAACGGTAAAAAAGAATATCTCCTCAGATGGAAAGGATACCCTGAGTAAGTTTTAATTAGTCAGAAACCAAATATTCTAAAAATCAAAATGGTCCCAAACACCTTAGTCAATAGATTACAATAACAAAATATTTCCACTGAAGATCACACAACGGAAGAGTTTATACAACATGTTTCTAGTTCTGCCAAATCGCACAGCGTAAAACACTGAGTAACAACATCTTTCCGATCTTCATTTTTGGGGTTCATTTTGAACTTTATGGGGGGACCATTGAAGGGCCAAGTATAAACCTTCAGGGGCATATTCCTTGACTTTCGGATTGCATTGAAAACCTCATGGAAAACAATGCTAGTTGTGCTAGTTTTGTATTTTCTCATCTATATTAATTTTTTAGTTCTGAAAATACGTGGGAACCAGAAGAGAATTTAGATTGTCCTGATTTAATAGCAGAATTTGAAAACAACAGAAAAAAGAAAGAAGAAAAGAAACGAAAACAACCGAATGGAGTGGAAGATCCAGCAATTAAAAAGAAGAAAAAAATAACCGAGGTAAAATCTACAGTGAGTATTCTGTTCTATTTGGATGGTATATTCTATTTTATATATTCTCTTTACTCTCAAGGGAGCCACGGAGGCTCAGTGAATAAGACGCTTGCTCGCTAACCTGAAGGGCCTGTGTGCTTCATGCTGTGCACGTTACAGATCCCTCGAAAGTTGGAAATAAAAAAGAGCAGGCTAATGCCACTGTCCTAGCAAAATTTCCCTCATTGCACTCTGCATGGCGTTGCCTGTCTTCATTAGCCTAGTAGCCCACTTGATGCAGAAAATCAGGACGTAAAACTCCATTCATTTCATTTCAATTTACTTTCATGATTCACATTGTGCAGGGATCCAAGACCTCTATCATGTTTTGTGTACTTTGCCAACTCTGAATGTCTTTCTAAGAATCTTCATATAATATTTGGCACCTCATTCATAGAGACCATTTATGTTTTTGAATATTAATAATAAAGACAATGTTTATGTTATATAATTATAGGAAGATGATAATAAACCGAGAGGATTTGATCGTGGTTTACAACCGGAAAGAATTATTGGTGCTACAGACAGTAGTGGAGAATTAATGTTTTTAATGAAATGGTACGTAGACCTACATTCTTATCGTTAGCTTGAGATTATATCAATCTTATTAAATGTAGATTAAAATTTACTCAATGATCAGAATTTCTGACATAGAAAAACCGTGGAGTCGTTCCGATAGGGCAACTTACCGAGGCCCAGTGTGCTACCGGCTGTTCATGTTAAAGATCCCTAGACAGTTGGAAATGGAAAAATAGCAAGCTAATTCCTCTGTCCTAGTGAAAATTTCCTCATTGTACACTGCATGGCGTTGACTGTCTTCATTAGCCCACATGATGCAGAAAAGTAGGACATAAAACCCCATTCATTTCATTTAATTTCAAAATTTACTCCCCTTCCATGACATAATAACATTTTATCAGGCAATTAGAAGATGACTGCAGTTAAAATAAGGCGATATTGGTTCAAGTGGATATCACGATATTTAATTGACGTTATAAATTCCTATGGCAGTATTTATCGTGATGTTGGTTCATCACCCAACTCAAAGATGAAAACTATTACAAATTGATCTGATTGTATCCCATGATGTTTACCATTGTGGTCGTGGCGGATGTCGCACTCGAAGCAGACCATGCTTACTCTTTAGAAACACCTAATGATACTTCCCTATGGAGGAGTCCACTACTATACAACTTTTAATCTTGATTTTGCCATACTTTGCATGAGATTTTGATTAACAATATTGTTTTGCTTAACATTTAACAATGGGGATCCAATTTTAAATTGTGTTGCAATTTTTCAACTAGGCTTTGTTTTATCTTTTCAGGAAAGACAGTGATGAGGCTGATTTAGTACCTGCCCGTCAAGCCAATGTGAAATGTCCTCAGATTGTCATCGCATTTTACGAAGAACGTCTAACGTGGCATACACATAATGATAACGATGATGATGAAAAAGGCAAAGATGATAAATAATATCGCGAGATTTTTTTAATGAAAAAAAAAACTGAAGATTGTGTAAATTTGGATTTTAAGACATAAACATTGTCACAATAACTGGTGAATAATAACCCACCCGCCAACTTGGTACTTTTTATTTTTAAAAGAGGAGTCGAGGAAAACGGGAACTAGGAAAAAAGACTGTTAGAATGTGTCTTAATGAGTGAAAGTGTGTGATTTCTGGTTGATTAACCAGTCTTAAAGATTGAAAACTGCATTTTCTGTAAATTGAAGGACAAGGTCATTACATTTTACGAATTATTTTCATTGAATTCAGCTAAATGTTTCTATTATTAATGTTTGAAAGGGAAGTGGTAAACAGCCACCCTGAAATTTTGTTTTATATCGAACTAAAATACAATCAAACTTACCAGTCAAACTGTCAGATGTCTTGTTTCCCATAACACATAATAATAGAAACATTTAGTTTCATTTTACATATTAACTGATCTTCACAATGTCAAGTTGACACGAACTGTGTCTAATACCTTGACTGCATCAGCCACCTTTCTTGTATCATGGAAGTTTGTAAATGCAGCAACTTGATTGGATTGTACTCTGCAGTCAGTCTACAGTAAGCCTGTCATATCATAATAAGCAGTTATGTTTCGTCATAATGACGAAAACTACGATTGGGCGTATTTGGTCTTACAATCCAATCAAATCACTGTTCCATGATACCAAAAAAAACAAACAATGAAGTCAAGGTATTAGACTGTGGCACAGTTTGTAAAAGCTGGACATTGTGAAGATGCTATTAACTCTGTTTCCATTGAATAGATGTTTGATCACTGACCTAGGCTTTTTGAGCCCTGTATCATTGGTTATTCTGCTTAATAGACACTTACTGTAGAAAGTTCATCGTGAGATTTTTTGATGGGGCGTTGGCCATCAAGAGTTTTTCAGAAAGAAACAACTGAATTGAAACTTGGTATGTTGTCATTATGAGAGATTCAGTATTCAATGGAAACAGGGTTATTTCTACTTTCGTTTTTTTCTGGCATTGTAAATACCATATATCTCTTTTCATTTATAACTTCATAGAATGGAACTGTTTCATTCTTTTCACTTGTCAAGTGTTCATTAAAATTCGTGGAGTTATTGCTAGGATAGCAGCAATATTAGCTTTCCAGTCAAATGTTGTAATAATGTGATTTGCAACAAAGAGAATTGTACGTCAATTTAGCTTTAAATTGATAATTGGCATTATATTTTCATTTGTCTGATAATGGCTTGTATAAAGTGATTCTCATATCATTGGACAAAATGCATATGCGTTATAGTCGAGCCAAGATATTTGTTTACATCTAGGCCTGATTCAAACATAAGCACGAGCAGTCCATTTGGTTTTGAGGTAGAATTATAAGTATTAAGACTATACAGACTAAACTTTTATTGTGTTGATTATTACTTATACTACCTTAAGTTAAGTGATCAGTACCCTATATCTCAAAAATTTGTATGACTAAACTTGCACTTTAAAGTGAATAAAAACGTTATTTTTGATATCAAATCATTGATGTATAACGTTAACACTTGTATGTTAATCTAGGATATTTTGAGAAGCAGGGTACTGCTTGCGTTCGTGTTTGAATCAGGCCCAGATGAGTAAAAATATCCTTGCTGAATTCGACATATTCAATTTATAGTACTGTTTTAGAGGATTCACATAGCTAATATGTTATTGTAATACTAACGATAGCCGAATGCTATTGATGTATGTATAATATAATATAATATTATTAGTTATCTATAAAATCAAAATATATCTAGATCTTTAAAATATCACACAGGCATTGGTTCAGACAGGATCATATAGCCAGGGTATGATATTAAACACCTTCAAGGGGCTATATTAAATGGGGCTGTTCAGAATAAAAATGAAAAATCATGTATCAATGACTTAATTACAACTTTTGGTTGAAAAATGATACCAAATATGGTTAATGAGCTATATTTTAGTACTTTTTCTCAAAATCTATCTACATGTCTGAAGATCACCAAGCATGAAGCTCTTAAGTATCAACATGTTTCAGGTTCTGTTTTAATATTTGTTTGTACTTGTAGTAAAGTAAATACTTTCATAATGTTTTACATGTAATTAGGTGTTCAGTGAACCAATTATTTATGACCTGATATTGCTTTTAAAACAAATTCGTTTTTCAATTTTATTTTCTGCTTCAAAAGTTTTGATTTTTTTTCTGATTGATCGGCAACATTTATTTCTGTTCATTCTGATTGACACCCCCCTTTTAATTATTGAACTCTTCCAACACATGCATTTCTTTATTATTATGACATAGTTCATGACTTTATAGAAGAGTTCATTAAGAAATAATAGGGGTGATCTGTTTTTCAGACTTTGTTAATATATATTGTACAGACACATTGTGATACATTTGTTGTGTGTAACCCCCAGTGTTATCATTCTACCCTCCCAGTCACAGTCAGCCCTACCCCCAGTCAGTCAGCCCTACCCTCAATCACAGTCAGCCCTACCCTACTACCCCTACCGTTTCATGTTTAAATGTAGATTCTGTAAAATAAAAGTGCTATATCATTGTCATTTATGTCTTTTTTTATATCCATCGTCATTGTATAGCAGACTTGAACAATGAAACCAATACCCTCATTGCTACGGAAACATGCTGTACAGGTTGAGTCGTGACTGCCTTAAAGGACATGAGCATCATTTTAGGTGGTTGATTTGAGTCTTGAATATATGTAAATAGTCTTCAGAAGAACTGGTAATGTACGAAAATCACATAATTCCTTCAAAAATACCTCAAACTAAGAATTTTACTCACAATCGTGGCCAAGGAACAGTTAAGGCCAGATTCGTCAGGCTAAAACACGATATACCGGTAGAGTCTGGTTGATGTCGGGAAGAGCTGGCTCAATCAGAAAATAGATTTTTGGACAGGCCACACTAAATAGAGCCATCTGGCTGAATCTTGGTAAAAATTCTTAATTTCACCATGCCCATAGCCAGACTTGATTGTTGGGAGGGGCAAGTAATATATCTAGCAAGGGCAATGGTGTATGATGTTAAGTCGCAGTAATGCTAATAGAAGTGGTCAGTTGTCAGATTTTCAAGGGGGCAATACATTTTATCGTGGCGGGGTGGGTACTCTACATACGGTCCTGCATGGACCTTCATTCTTATAAAATGAAATGAATGGAGTTTTACGTCCTACTTTTCTGCACCATGTAGGCTAATGAAGACGGGCAACACCATACAGGGTGCAATGAGGGAAATTTACCAGGACAGCGGCATTAGCCTGCTCTTGTTCGATTTCCGAGGGAGGGATCTTTAACGTGCATGGTCTGTAGCACATGGGGCCGACGGGGCCTCGGTTTATTGTCCGAACAACTAGCCGCTTTTTCAACGTCTGTCCCTCAGAGCTGCATCACTTACGGGGAGAAAACGGATAGAAAAACAGGTCTTCAATCAACGAAGCACAAATTCTTGTTCAAACCACTTTAAACAGTAGCCTTTTAATTATGACACATTTTCAATCCCGAATAAAACTGTGAAATTTTATCATTTGAAAAGCCGAATTGCCGCCAGATGGGTATCATGTGTTTTTACTGGGAGTCGTAAATATCGACAGATTGGGCAAATCTCGCAGAATTAATTAAATTCAGCCATTGTTTTAGCTTCCCAGACCGTGACACCAATCAGCACCTGTTTTGATAATACCGTATTAGGTTAGGTAGAAAAGTGTGAATGGATTAAAAGCTTTTTAAACTGGTGCGAGGAGATTATCCTAATCCAATCGTTTGATTGGTTGACGAAATCCGAAATGTCTCAAACAAAGGACCGTCTTGATAATCTCGACTGTTGACGGAAATTAACGAAAGGTACCGAGAATAAATTATATCACGTGACCGGCTTGATAAAAAGCCACGCTAGCTTTCCGGAATAAGGCAGTTGAAATTTAGGTTAGACGCGACAGAAAAAAGCACAAAATCACGAAATGCCAGAGGTTAGTTTGACTTTTTCTTCAGATTATTTTGTAATTTTAATATTCAAGAACATAAAGGTATAAGAAATCTTAAGATTTGTTGCGATCTGCTTAGGCTTTGAGGCGATCGAAAATGTCTTCACACTGATGCGCAAGTGATGCAGTCGCCATTTTACATTTTGAATTCTTATCAGTTCAACATTTTATTTTGTAAAATTGTACATTAATCAAAAACATTGATTTGAATATGATTTGCCTTTATTTCTTGACCGCAGATCGTTCATTTTGCAGGGCAATAGGTAGATTGGTTTGGGCCTTTTTAGTTTTTGCTCCTAATTTTATTGTTGTTGCCTTCTTCAACTCTGACACTTGAGCCTTGCCCCCCTCACCCCTGCTTTTGCTAGGACTGTGAGGCTAGAGGAGAAAGACATAAAACCACACAATCGTTATTATTGTAATGAGATTTGCTGTTCGATTCCAATGTTTCTTTGCTGAATTAAAACTTGGCCAATCTAACTTGGGCTTGAAGCACTAATTTAATGGTTGATTATTTAAAATTTTATTTTCAGTACGGTATGAGACGAGGCGGTGGGGGAGGAAGATTTGGAGGAGGGGGTGGGGGTCGTGGAGGAGGTCGCGGTGGCCGTGACGATTACCTTGACCCTGAAAGTGAACAGTTCCGTAAATTATTTATTGGTGGATTAAGTTACGAGACTACAGAAGATGGTTTAAAAGGACATTTTGAACAATGGGGAGAAATCGTTGATGTTGTAGTCATGAAAGATCCACAAACCAAAAGGTAATAATTTGTAATTCTCTCTCTCAGTACGTAATGCATTGCAGTAAGATACACACATTTGAAGTTTTTACCTCTACAGTCAGTTCAATGCTGAAATATTGTTAACCATTCCAAATTTCTTTTTTTCATTGCAGATCCCGAGGGTTTGGTTTCGTCACATTTAAAGAAGCAGCCATGTTGGACGAGGCCCAGAAGAACAGACCACATACAATTGATGGACGTGATGTTGAGGCTAAACGAGCCATGCCTAGAGCTGTAAGTATTATATTATAGCACAGGATTTCAAATAACAACCCTTCTAAAATTATTAGAATTCTTAAGTTAATTTTCTTGGCATGGAATCTCAGTAATTTGTGATCTAATTCAATTTTGAATTTCTAGACATCTGCGTGTCATTTGAAAACAATTTCTATGCCTGAATGTGTTATCGGGATACTAAGACTGAAGATATTTTATTGTAAACTTCCTTTATTTTCTAGGAAAGTGGCAGATCAGAATCTCAAGCGACAGTAAAGAAGATGTTTATTGGTGGAATGAAAGATGACACGACCGAAGACCAGATCCGTGATGTGTTTAGTCCCTACGGAAAGATAGAATCCATTGATATTATTAAAGATAGAGCCTCACAGAAACCAAAAGGATTTGCCTTCGTTTTATTTGAAGATTATGATACTGTTGATAAATGTGTTTGTAAGTTGAAATTTTTGTGGATTTTTACTTTAGAAGCATTAGCTAGCACCATTTGCTGAGAAATAAAAGACATCACCTTGGAATGCAATCTTTTGTGTCCTAAATTGATTTGCTTTCTAATATTTTATATTATAAATTTGCACTGAAGTGAATTACTGACTTGGCGGATGATTATTAGTGTGTTGACTAGTTTTGTTGGATGAATTGAAGAATTAATTCCAATTGGAGGGGTTATTTTTAGGAATTTATCTGTCTGCTTTTGACTGTTTTCTTCTTGTATTTTAGTAATCAGTAAATTTGATTTGAATGGTAAGAAGGTAGATGTGAAGAAAGCTCAGGCCAAGGAAAGTGGAGGAGGAGGTGGTGCTGGAGGACGAGGTAGTCGTGGGGGAGGAAGACCTGGTGGCCGTGGTGATTTCGGTGGATCTGGGGGCTACAACTCTGGAGGATATGGAGGTTAGTGAATGTCTTATTTTACTTCTGTATCTTTACCTATAAAAAAGTATGAACTGCGGTGTCAGTCATGTAAAAATTTTGATTTTTCTGGTGCAAACTTGTCTGCCCTCTTATTTTTGGTGCAGTAGCCCAATAATTTGCAGAATTTCTTTGCGGTAACTTAACCTAGTTGTAGCTAGGTGATCAATGTCATAGATTCGTAGTTATTTCCCCTTAGTTTACAAATCTGATTATACCATGCTTCAATTTGTGATTGAATTAATAAGATTATAAAAGTGGTTTTGTAAAGTAACGAGAATGTGTTTTATTTTAGGAGGAGGATACGGTGGTGGTCAAAGTTACGGAGGAGGATCAGGATATGGTGGGGGTAGTAATTGGGGCGGTAACCAGGGTGGAGGATATGATAATTACTCAGGTGGATACAGTCAAGGAGGTAATGCGTCTTAAAGATATTTTTTAGGCCAAATTAATATTTCTCATTAATGTGATAGTTTGCCTTAAACAACATATTGATCTTGGTTTGATATTGTAAATTCATCTCACTAGTCGATGAAACCTGGTTTATTTGTCTTCCACCGGGACATTTTGAATTTTAAAATTGTCACGATTTCTAACTCTTCATTACGACTATTTAACATTTTAAAATAATTCTTGTAAACTGGTTCACAATACGTCCTTGAATTTAGCATCCTTAATAATAATTTTCTTATGTGTTTTCCAGGTGGAGGAGGAAATTGGGGTGGTAATGAAGGCTTCGGACAGAATTATGCTGGAAGTTATGGGGGTGGGGCTATGAGAGGAGGTGGAAATTATTCACAGAGAGACACTGGACCATACGGAGGTAAATATTAGTTCTTTGATTCCTGATGAAATGTCTTGTACTTGCCAGAAACTAAAAAAAAAAAATGCAAAAAAACTGAACAATGTACTGCGTATTTATGATGATTGTTAATCTTGTCTGCCAAAAATTTCTTGCACATGCAACCAATGAAAGGAGAAATATTTCAAATCTTCACTTCTATTTACAGGAGGGTATGGATCAAGCGGTGGATACGGATCAGGAAGTGGTTACGGTGGTGGAGGAGGATACAATCGTAGTTAGATCATCCAATCATTTTTCAACTTACAAAAACAACAAGGTAGGTGCTGATACAATCAGAGCTTATGTCTTTATCTTTCAACTTTTCCAAAAAATATTCCAGTAAATTTTTTCCTTATTTCATGATTTTCTGATAGTTATTAAGTGTTTTTGAATTTTTTCCCAAATTTAGGTAGGCATTCGAACAGAATTTAATAGGAAAGCAGCTTAATTTAATCCACGCCAGAATTATTTATGTTACTACAGAGTTATTCCTCTTGATTACATCAAAAATAGACAAGTTTAGGATGTTAGATAATTCAACATAAGTTCCTCGAAATACAGTTATTGCCCTTGAATACCAGTAAGCTCCCTTTGTTAAGGAAGTTCGTAACCAAGACTAAGAATTTTACGATCTACAGTTAGAGCCTTTTCCAGTTAGGCAGGTGATAAGAATACAAGTTATTTCCCTTTGAAATAGAACAGGATGAGTTAGCTCCCATTTTGGAGAGATTTATGATACTACAGACTTCGCGTAAAGAGTGATTTAGGAGTAGGGATAGATTATCTCCCCTGGTTATCCACAAGGCAGAGTTAATGTTCTTAGATGTTCTACTATTAGGCAGACGAGTTGTTTTCCAATCCTGCTACAAATAGATGCTGTAAAGACCTTTGTATTGTGTAATAAGTGTTTTTAAAACTTTATCAAAAAAATTGACGGCCACGCCTGATATTTACGATTCTTTGTTGCTATTTTTAGCAAGTGCTACGTCATTTTCATTTTTTGTCGTGAATTTTATTCATCCATATTATGTGTATTTATTTTGTTTCTCAAAATAAAGGAAATTAATTTTAGGTTAGGTAGTATTTTTGAAATATAATATAAGGGACTATATTGGAATGGAATGCTTAAGAAGGTGGGACTTGTAGGATCTAACCTGTTAGCTTTTTAAGGCCCTTTTTCACTTGTCTTATGTGTGAACGAAATACATGTACTTCTCTTTATGCTAGTGAGGATATAGTGGGAAAGGGTTATGTTTTTTTTCCTTTGTGGGTTTTTGGGCAAAGGGAAAGAATTTATTTCAGTGAAAATTTTAACTTTTGAATTTGATTGTGAGGGAAGAGAAACTTAATGGTTGAGTCCAACAAGAATGTAAGGGGTGGGGATGAGTGAAATTATGTGGGGAACATTTTGTGTTAATAGCAGAAATGGGTATGAGAAGATACTGGTGTGATAGGCTTTGTTTAAGTCTTAAGATTGGTTAGAATGGTATTAAAACTAGGCTGTGAATAAGTCTAAATTCAACTATAAGTACTGGATAGTGTGTGACTACATGTCATTGTAGCCTTGGTTATCCTAGATAGATATAATGTTAAGATATTTTGAAGAGTGGTTAGGCAATTCTTGCTAGAGTAGGGTAAGGAATATACTTAGTTATTCTCAAATAAATTTTCTATTTTAAATTTCAATGCTTTTTCCATTTTGAATAAGCTAACAAGTTGAAGAAATTTGATGGTATAATCTTCCTGAATGTCTCTTAATCTGTACATTTTTCAAATATATGAATCTGTAAAGTTGTTATTTTTGGACAAGAAAATCCTTTGTTTATAAGACATATAGACATTACAATAAAACACTAAGATATATAGATATACTACTTCTACATTTATTACATACTAAGTTTTGAAACACATACACGTAACGTTTTACTTGATAACGTTACCTGTATGTGTTCCAAAATGTATGTAATAAATGCAGAAGTAGTATATCCATATATCTTAGTGTTTTAAAGAAAATCCTTGACTAAAAGTGGCTAATTTTGATGATAAAATTATGAGAGTATTCAGCCAAGACTGGCAAGAAAAACAAATCAACAGCCCTTAAATTCCAGTACAGATTAATGGAGGTATTTAGTAAGATTAGAAATGATTTTTATAGGCACCCTTAAGTTTTAACCTTATTTTAATCTAGTTAATCTACTTTCTTTTATGAAGGATTTTGAACGAAAAATCACTTGGTGGACTTGTCCTTTGAATAAACAGCTCTTGGAGTGATGAATGGTTTATGGTGATGAACTATTTAATAGAAATGGTTCTGTCCATGATGATCAGATAACCAGTTGGTGTCTACACTAAAGAAAGTGATAGCGTTCATACAAAATGGCATTGTAGAGATATTGTTAAGAATTAGGAGATGAAGCAAGGTAATTATGCTCTATATTATGTATCTCAAAATCAATCTAATTCATCAAAGCAAAATGAATATTGACAAAGTTGTTTTACAACTTAGTGTTCTGCAAGTCAAGATGGCTGGTGTGTATCTGATCTTATTCCATTCTTATTAGACCTTGGCTTGTTATTTTAGTAGATAGCAGTCTGTAATAACTGATGTAAGGGGGGAATTCTAACAATAGGTGAATTTGATGTTATGGTTTCTCTCATTTCAGGCTTGAAACTAGAGGAGAGATCAGCTGATGAAAGTTCAGTCTTGAAAGATCAATGGAAATTAATTTTTTATAAATAAATGAATAACATGAATTTAGTTTTCTCTTTCTCTTGAAGATCTTTCCCAAACCTCCCAGACAGTGCCTGGGCCCTTGTTTCTTTTATTGCAAGGGATGTATTCCTCATTTAAAGTAAACTTGGAGCGGTGTTGTCAATTTGTAACGGGCCCTCATTGCGTCCAAACCATGTCCCCATTCGCCATTATTCCTTGTCAAAACTAATATTCGTGATACAATAAGTTGGCTTTGAAAATATCTCCGATGTTGCAAGATCAGATTTGTCCAAGAACTATTTACAGCCAAAAGTTCAGTTCAAATAAATTATGTCAGACATCAGATGCTGACAGACTACTGACAAAAACTTGACCTGCAATTTTAATCAAGGATTATTGAGTGTAAGGAAGGCGCTATTCGTTTATTGAATAACTGACTTGAAAAAGGTACAGTTTTTACATTTGATAGTAAGAAGAAATCCCTCCCTTGTTGGCTGGTCATTTGATATTGACGCTGAAACCTGGAGTATCCACCTAGAGTATCCCACTGAGCTAAATATAGACTATAGGATATCTATGGAGTATCCGTACTGAAAGGGAGGTAATTTGTGAGTTACTTCCCTTATACCAAGAACTGTCAGCATAAATCTGATTTGACTATAGGTCAGGGGCCTTATTCTTGAAAACTTAACTCAAGATGATTTTAGTTTTCCAGTCATTTGATTGGTCAATTACTAAAATTGATTTTAAATAAAGCATTATTATCCAATCAGATTGCTGCATTTCTTAAAATCCTGATTTTATTTCAGTTTTGGAGAATAAGGCCCCAGTTGCTTTTATGGGAGAGTATCTTCTTAACACCCACTGGGACGCCTTATAATGATAGACCAAGCAAATGTCTTCCTTGGGGGGAAATATTACCCTTTGATCCCCCCCCCCCCCTCATCCTTTATAGTTCAGCCTGTCCTTTTCTAATACCCCCAGATCCAGTTTTATTATCACTGGCATTATTTGAAGAAGAAAGTGAAGTCAATTTCATTGGACAATTTATTATAAAAAACCAGTAGATTTAACAAGTAGAAAAAATCCTATATTTAACAAGTAGACTATGATAATATAGGTTTATTTACATCTTTAATTATTCATTGAACATTTAATAAAATTAGTTTTCTTTTAATTATACATTATTAATGGTTTATATTCAAAAAATATCTTCTCACTACCAGCTTATTGTAGCATTTTTTGGGGGGTAGTGATATAAACTTTTGCTTTTCTTTGTACAAGTCTTTTATATATGGGGGGGAATTTAAGTTCTCAAGAAAGGTCAATATGAGTATATATTCATCAGTCAGCTTACCTGGTGTCATAAAGTTACAACAGAATCCCTGTCAAATCTGGAAAATTGGAAAACTAACTAATCATAAAACTATATTCTAATCTTAATATTAAGAGTTTTTCAATAGTTAATTGCATATTTATGGATACTTACTAAGTTTTTTTGATTTATCAGATTATATAAGGATTCTGTTATGTTATTTTTGACACCAGGTATATCTACTGTTTCTTTTCACTGTATGAATGGGTAGCTTTAGGCCATAAAGTTATAAACAGTTATTATATACATCCTTTAGGCCTAAATCTAAAAATGAAGATAGCTAAAAACTAAATCAAATAAAATTCATAAATATTTTACATCTAAAATCATAATATAGAATAAAATAAAAAATATATCTTTGGTAAAAGATACAAATATTGAAAGAAAGATGAAAAGTAAAGATTTATAAATTGCGTATCATTTGGCTTAAAATAATGAAACAAATCAACATGTGTATCATTCTGACTCCTGTTAAACAATTAAAACTAAAACCCTGATAACTTATCATTGGCCATTTTCATCTTAAATATTAACTGTGATTATTTTAGTTGGCCATTGTTAGCTCTGCTCACACACTGTCTCCGGCACTAGATGTAATGATAACATAGGTGATATAATAGAGATAGATCATCTTCATACTGTCAAGTTTTTATAAACTGTGTCTAATATCTTGACATTGTGAAGATGGAGACAAGTGTAAGTGTGTAATATCACAAACCTATTTTTCAACATATTCCAAGTAGGTGCTGAAGAGTAGGACATATAACTCCTTTTCATTTTTTTCTTTAACATAACAATAAAACAAACAAACTTAAACAAATCAGCAACATCACGTCAATTAACATTTTAAGAATAAAAAAAAGTAAATATTCAATTTATTAGTTTTATCCAAAATTCAAAAAAATGTAAAGCACATAGAATCAATTTTAAATTGAATTTAGTGCCAAACCTCATGTCTTGATCTTTCTAAGATTCTAATTTTCAATCAGGTATCCTGGTTCCTGCAATTTATCTTCTTTCTTTACAATCCCTTTAAGGAAGATAAACAGTAATCTGTACAAGTCAAAGTATGGAAGTTTAACCTCTAATGTCTATCAAGATTATTGTAGATTTTATAAACCAAGGACTAAACTTTATATTGAGGATATATTTGTAATTGTAACAATATTTAGATAAAGGCACTAAGAGTGTTGTACATTTCACCATCTATTTCTAATTATACTTTCTGGAAATCATGTTAATAATAGATTTAATCATACCTTCATTGTTACATCAATAACTTTTTCTAGACTAGAGTCAAACCCTGAATCCCTAATATACCGGTATTGAAGATTATTAAATCCCTCGTTCAAATGATTAAACACATCAAGTTCTATTTATTTTGGCTGTATTTAATTCTACCCATGAAAAATAATGATAAAACTTATTCATCATGAATGTCTACAGCAATTACAGCTTGTTGGCTGCATTTTATTTATCTGTTGGTTTTGATACTTCAAAAAAATTGGAATTATGAATGATGATGACAATATAAATTGTTGAAACGTGTAAAGACTGAGGAGTAGCATGCCATAAATTGAGTTCCATTATTTAGAGTCTATCAAGTTTCAGGAAGCCATTGAAAGGGAGGGAATCTAGAGGAATCTATTTATATATTATATCTGAAATTAGCACTATAACAGTTGGAATTGAAGAGACCCAACCTGATATAAAACTGGGGGTAGGGCTCCTTGCAATTAAGTCTTTTGGAAAAATCAGAACATTTTGATTCTAGTGGAGCGTCATTCAAAAATATATGTTTTTAGGGTCAGGTGAGGGAACAATTATTCCCCCTGCCCAGCCTGTTGCCCCGTAATTGTCAAGTCAGGGCCTCAATATATCTATATCACAATGTTTGTAGTTGGAATTCTGTAGACTATTGGTAAACTGTAACATAAGATTTTTGTTGGCAGGATGGATCAGCATGGGGCGTTAATATCGTACATTCACTGATATAAACACGTTTATACATCCTGGCATAAATTAGGAGAAAAAATCCCCATTTCCATGTCATAGCACACCATACACAGGTTAAAAAATATCCCTCACCATAAACCACTAAACCTGTAATACAAAATAATATATTTCAGGAATAAATGTGGATCTTGTTATCGTTATAGGGAATTAACGCTGGTTTATCATGTGACAAGACAAATGAACCCTTCTGATTAAAATTCAAAATATTTTTTTTTTAAACTGTAAAAATGGGCATAAAAAGGGATTGCTTCAATTTACTGGTCACTGTCAATCATGTGGGTGTGTCATAATATATTTTTTATGAATGATAATGAGATAAAATAAGTCGAGAGAACATTTTGAAAATTCTAGCTGATTCTTCTATTAATTCAAATTAACAAAACAAACGTTTATGTGTATTTTCTGAAGAAGGATTCTAAATTACAGTCGTTTGAAAGAATTTGGCATTAAATCAATAATACATTATCACTAACTCTTTATCAAAAAAAATAGTATATTATTACAGACAAAAAACAAGAAAAACAAATTTTGAAAAACATAGACCTGTTTTATTAAATACCCAGTAAACCAATTTTCAGATAAACATTAAGATCTTATCTACAAGGTATTCAATAAATATATTCAGATAACAGAGATAAAACTCTAATCTTGTTACAGGAACCATTCTTAGTAATTATATAACATATACTTAAACTCTTTCAGATTTCTTATCCATTCATCCTGATATACAAATAGTATTAACAACTTCTAAATGTTATCTCAAGACGTTATCCCTGTCTTTATCAGCTTATCCTTATTTAAAGAGATTGTACAGGGTTTTCTCAACTTCATATATGTATTAGGGACATTGTTAGCAATGATTTACATCATTCCATTTTTTCAATCAGTTGTAGGTAGGTAGGTAGGTAGATGACAAGTTAATCAGTTGTATGTAGGTCTTGTATTTACACTAAAAAAGGGCTTGTGATGTGATGTGATGATAATGATATCACTATTAAGGATTTAACTATGTTTTCAGAAACCACAGACACCTGACAAAAATTTGGAATGATGCAAACTCTTGTAAATACTACAGAACCAATTGACTTACCTTGGTGTTGTGTAATCCCCAGAACAAGGTACACCACGAAACCACAAACTCCGGCCAACTGTATAAAACATCCTGTTAACATAAACCGTTGTAGTGTGTAGGGATACGCAGCAAAAATCTGGCGTTGATATCCAAAATGGATGTAAATACTAATAGATGCTGCTAGTCCTGAAATATTCAAAGATGGCAATTATGAGAAATATTAAAAACAGAACCTGAAACATGTTGTTTCTCAGAGTTTCATGCTGTGTGATCATCAGACAACTAAAACAGAACCTAAAACATGTTGTTACTCAGAGTTTCATATTGTGTGATCTTACGAATAAGACAACTGACCTTAGTGTGCTTATTGGCATTTATGATGCTTTTGCCTAAAGATGAGGTGCCCCCAGGGCATCCCCCCACCCCCCTACCCCCAGGGAATATATTATATCCAGCCTACAAAGCAGAGCACTAAGTGGTAAGAATATGGGCTTGCTGTATCAAGTTACCATAAACACTTTGTAATACCAAAAGTAACTGAAACCAAGATAGGATGTTTACTTAAAACTGTCCTGTTAGAGCAGATGACTGAGGCTGAATTCAGAGCAGATGACTGAGGCTGAATTCAGAGCAGATGTTTAACTGTTGGTTTCTTTGTTAAATCAAGATAACAATCTAATATACTACTGTATCACCTGACCTAATTAATAAGTCTATATTACATAATTAATTATCTTTTATAGTCCAACATCCTATTTATAATCTCTGGGGTTATCTTTTAACATGCTCCCAGCTCCTGTATCAGATTCAAATTTAAACTTTGTCCCCTGGTTAGTTCTTAATTAGGTCAAAAGTGACCTAGATTTCATTATCTATTTTTCCTACCCTAGTTAGATATAGGTTTCATTATCTTAAACTGATGTCACTGATAATATCAATAATAACCAAATTATACATTTAGCTGAAATGTCAAAAATTATAGGATTATAAAAAAATCTTTGAAAAAAGTTATCAATAATTAAAAAGATGCTGAATTGCAGATTTCAGTGAAAATTATCAAAATTATTTGTATAGCTAAGATTTAAGATATAAGAGAAAACAAAATAAATCTTCAAAAGGGATGCTGATAAATACAAAATCATAAAAATGCTAAATTAAAGATTTCAGTGAAAATTTCTACTTGGAAATTATTTTCAAACCAAAATTTATGTTTCAGAGAAAACCAAATACACGAAAATTACATAATTAGCAATTAAGACTCTTTGAAAGTGATGTTGATAGATTAAGTCACAGAGTCAAAGGTTTAGCCATCTTCCTTTTGCAATTATTAGCCATAAAGTAATGATGAGGGGAAAGAAAGGAGATAACAAACGGATAAAGATTTTAATTTGAAACTAAGAGTGTAACCTGGGTGAAAAGTTTAAATATGACCCCCTGTAAAGTTTATCTTTATTATCTCTGTTTAATCTTCCTGACTATAATAATATATTAAATATTAACAATTAAATCATACACATTTTATATTTATATCCACTTCATTAGATTTGTGGCTTTTCATGTATCCCTGTTTTCATGTATCCCTTTTTTCATTTATCCCTGTTTTCATTTATTCCTGTTTTCATGTATCCCTGTTTTCATGCATCCCTGTTTTCATGTATCCCTGTTTTCATTTATTCCTGTTTTCATGTATCCCTGTTTTCATGCATCCCTGTTTTCATGTATCCCTTTTTTCATTTATCCCAGTTTTCATTTATTCCTGTTTTCATGTATCCCTGTTTTCATGTATCCCTGTTTTCATTTATCCCTGTTTTCATGCATCCCTGTTTTCATTTATCTCTGTTTTAATTTGTCTCTGTTTTCATGTATCCCTGTTTTCATGTATTCTGTTTTCATGTATCCCTGTTTTCATGTATCCCTGTTTTCATTTATTCCTGTTTTCATGTATCCCTGTTTTCATGTATCCCTGTTTTCATTTATCTCTGTTTTAATTTGTCTCTGTTTTCATGTATCCCTGTTTTCGGGTATCCCTGTTTCCATTTATCCCTGTTTTCATGTATCCCTGTTTCCATTAGCCCATATCTAATATCCTCTAAAAGAGATTGTAAAGAAGTTTTCTAAATCTGTAGATCGGGGACACTGATAGCATCAATTTGTACACATTAAAATTTTCAATTTTGGAGTCAAATAAGTACGACATAAAACTCATTTGCCATATTTAAAATTCCTCCTTAAGACATTTTATATAACCTCCATTTCCAATACTAGGAAATAATAGGTATAATGGGGTGAGATTCAACACCGGGCCGATTCTCAGAAGCACTGGCACAGGCATCAGAATTTTACCTTAAGGATTCGAACACACAACACCTAATCACCTAGCAGACAACAATGCAACTCGCTACTGACTGAGCTATTCTACTAGTTATAAAAGTATTGTAATTGCTCGAGATATGACCTTGTTTAGTAATATTTGTATAAGTTATGTATGTTAAAATGACATTGGTATATAAAAATAAAATTGAGTCAGATCAGTATGACGTAAAGTAAATAATTTAACAACTGAGTTATTATTGAAACAGGGTTCACTATCTGGGACAGCTAATTTATCAACTCATACAAATACAAAATAATTACTTCAACGTTTAGACTAAAATACCGAAAGTCTTGCCTTTAATAAACTGGTTTCAAAGTTCATTTCTCTGTTAACAGTGGCTTATTTAGGGAGAGGGCCTGTGAAAGGTTTTATGTTGAAGTGAAAATTAAGCCCTCTAAATGCTTAAATTCATCTCAAGCCATCTTACTTCTTAATAGGCTGTGACCCTGCGATGCTCACAGCGGAGAGACATCTCTCATTTTTGGTCTCCCTCTCAGACATTTTCTAGATACATCCTTGTCTATTTTGGTTGAAAAACAAGGTTCACTATATATGACAGCTGAATTGTTATCCCTGGCCTTAAACATTGAGAACTTTTAAAACACTTATTTTAATTCTAATTTATCTGTTTATTTGGGTTGGTCAATTTGGCAACCATTTAAGAGAGTCCACATGGATACAAACTTTAATTATTGTTATTTTGGTTGGTCAACTGTCATCCCTTTTAGACAGTCTGTATAACTAATAATATAGTATACATGTATTCATTATATTATGTACATTGCAAACTTCCTGGATATAAATCTATATATTTAGTTTATATTACCTAGTTCAACCAATGAAATACCTTCCTATTAAAGTAGATATATTGGTATTATATTACAGTTGAATGCAGATATAAGCATGACTTTGCAGATCCTGAATAGAATTATAATAACAACACAAATAAAATCAGTGATCCTTGAAGTCACTAAAAATCAACAGAGTGTCCGCAATTTACATTATTATTGGTAAATACTTGTAACCTAGGCCAGTGTTTCTATAAAACCGTGTTAACACCAAATAAATTAAGGCATATCATATTTATTATTATATATATTTCTAACTACAGCAGGTATAACCATTCAATTCAGACCTGCATTGAGAGAAATCATTGATTGAGATTTGTACTAATTAACTCTAATTAACTCTAATTAACTCTAATTAATTATCACTGACAATTACAACAATAGTATATGTTAATTATCTATAATCAATATTCTTCCTGCATCATCATGCTTTTTATCATTTTTAAAACACAACACAAATTAGCCCTGACTTCCTCTTTGTTGATCAACTGTTACAAGATCTTTTATACCCTCAAGGCTGGCTTTCTTCATCAGTTGCCTGAATCTATGTTGGCAAAAAAGACCAATATTGATCATTGTTTTGAATTTTTCATCACAACTTTTAAACCCATTCGTCCTCTAAGTTGGCTTACTGTCTCTCTTGGCTTACATTTGCTTAAAGCCCTTACATCCTTTAGATTGGCTAATTTATTTGATGTAATGGTAAGCTAAGGAACTGTCTGTCATCCCTAATAAACTCTACTATGGCTACCAAGTTTCATCCAGTTTAGGTTGCCTTGCTATACAATCTTAGTGCCCTTTATATCCCCTAGTTCCAAATTCTATAAATTGTATCCCATGATATCTTGTGAACCTACTGAGTTTCCAGAGAAAAAGGTCAACAATGGCATGGCAGAATAATTCCTGGCATTAATAGAGATCCCCCTCCCCAACCCCCAACCCCAACACCACATACATCCATTCACCCCAAAAATCCTTCCAAAAATATCATATTAATCTCAGAAACATTTCGTCATTATAACGGAGAGGTATATGAGTGATAATGACCCCTAATACCGGGCCAATATTACGTTATAACGCACAGTTCTAGTATAGTACAATAATTAAAGAGTGTTACCTGATACAAGGCCCCATAATGCTGTATTCCAGTTATGAAAATGGAAACCAAACACACAGAAAACGCTGAGACCCACTAAAAATCCTGTGATGCTGAATATAAGCCGAGAAGTAACGGCACAGGCTGTCGGAGTCGCCATCCCGTTAGATTTCAATCTACTGCTATATGAATAATCACTTATCTAATATACATCGTCTGCTTCAGTCTGGATGGTAAAGACTTAAAACGTGCGGTAAGTAACGTAGCCAAAGCCAAAGTTGAATTCAGAATTAAAGACTTACTAATAGAGACTACGGGTACTTGTTCTCGTTTTATCACGTGAGAAGTGACGGTAAGAACTAAACCGGAAACGATCGGAATCACGACTGAATTTCCCGAATTTAAAGTGTTTTTAGTGTTTATTGTATTAAAAAATTAAAAGATGCCAAGGAAGAAGGTTGCCAGAGGACGAGGCGGCAGAATGACGAGATCTAATATCGCTAAAGCAGACTCCATGTCAGGTAATTTCAGAATTTGTGTTTTGAATTTGTGTCACAGTTTCGTTTTCTGACAATTCTTCTGTCACTGTCATTATCTGCGTCGATCACCGTAACAGTACTGGCACTTTTTTTGTGATCGGATTTCCTTGTAGCGATTATAATTGTCGACGGGGGAAATTATTACTAGAATTATATCTGAAATTCTAATAAGTCAATCAATTGATTATTAGCCTTTTTAAAGCCAATTAAGAATGTCAATGGAATCCACACTGAGTGATTGTCATTGTGTGATATTGATGGGTAGTGTGAGGTATATATGACAGTTATCAGGTAGTGTTGTACACAAAATCACACCTTTCTAATGGACTGTCACTTATAATTTATCTCCAGTTCAATAATTTCTTAGAATTTCATTTTTCTATCTAATTTCTCCAATATTCAAAATAATTTCTTTTTACCGAATGCCATTTGTATTAGAATAATTTTGGATTCATAGACAAAAAATGACATGTTTGAAATTAACACACTTTCCTCCAAGAAAATTCACCTGAATATAAACATATTTAGACTGAAACTTCTTTTTTCCATTGAAATATTCATATTCATTTGATGGGTTGCGATTGAGAAAAATAAATAATTTCTTAATTGATATATTTAAGAATTTGTTTGCTTCAGTCTTGATTTTAAAAATATTTTATTTTTTGAATATTTTCCATTGATATTACTCATGACTATCCTTCTGTATGGTTTTAATTTGCCTGCGGAAACAATCTCAATCTGTTTTGGCAGGGTCAGAGCTAATTATCGGTGGTCGAAGTTGTCTTTAACATTTTTGTCCCGAGTTTTTAAGTAGTATCTAACATTGGTCTGACCGAGAAGGTTCGTTTCATAAAGATACATAATTCTACCATGTCTCACTTTAGCAAGTGAACCTCGTATAAGGAACGATGTAATAAATTTTCAAGATGTCGACAGCCAATTGACACTTGGGATGTGGTCCTCTCGAACAGTCATATCTAGCATTTTATGTTTAAACGTTACAAATCTAATATTAATGATCCAGTTTTAGTCTCCAAAGCTTAAGCTAAATATTTTAAATGTTTGTACTACAAATTTAGGAAAACTTAAAAGAAAATGGGAATCTAGCCTATTCTACAAACATGATTTATTTCTAAAGAATCTTAACATTGCTAGCTGTTTTTACCCTTTTCCTATATTTGTCACATGTTTATCAAACCTAGTTGAATTAAATATTCACAAAAAATACAGATCTTACAGATAAAATGTTCAGAATATTCCTGATAAATTTCAATCTAAATAAGATAATGAGTTTGTTTCTGATAATTGCAAAGTTTGCCTGTCCACCATTTTAACACGTAAATGTAATATTGAAACCATTGAAAATATAAGTTCACTAAGACTAGCATAAAGATAGCCCTGTTAGCAGGGAATTGTTAGCTATTTTGATAGAGTACACGACAAATCTGTATTGGAGATGATGACATCAATTTGTTTTTTTTTCTTGCAGAAATGATTTCGGCCTCATTTTCTATTTCCATTTTCTTGAAAGATGACCAAAAACTAAATTTGGCTGTTAAAAAAGCAGACGATTTGGTAAGAAATCAAATTAAAAAAATCGTCAGGCTGCAGCTTCTTTGAGTAAGGGAGGTAACTTTAAGTAGCTAGTGATTGAAATGCCTGGTTTAATTTTCATGGAAGCAAGATCAATTATGTGTAGCTAAATCTCAGATAGTGTTTGTCAAACAGCTGCACTGTGTCTAATATCGAAATCTAAGTCTGCATAGACAATCTTTGTATTGTTTCCTCTGTCAGTTATGCAAGTCCAAGGGGGGCTGACATGAATAAATTAATCCAATCATCTAAAAGAGGCCCTGTATGCTGCAGAATGTACATCATAGATCCTTTAACAGTTTAAATTTAAAAAAAAAAGTCATTATTGTAACCTGTTTAGATTTAGCTTCAGATAAATTCAAAATGTTTCCCTAAAGGTTAAAACATCAAGTATTTTTCTGTTCATATAGCTACTTAAAGATACCAGAATCGTCATTAATATCAGGAAAGTGCAGACTGCTGTAAAATTATATTTTCTTTCAGGCATTTTTTCTATTAGTTTTGTTATAGCCCTGTAATCCCCTAGTCAGGAATTTTCATATCAATTTAATAATTAGTTTTTCAAACATATTTTTTATTAAGATTTAGTTTTTATGAATGTGATTTTACGATTTAAAACCAAGTTTCTAATATTTGTTGATTTTTGTGGAAGAATCAGATATTTAATAGTGAAAGATTTCAAATTTGCAGCATGTTTCAAAAGTGCATTAAAAAATATTTTGGAAAATTTTGATGCAAGTTCTGTCAATTTTGCTGGAAACAGTAACTGTTTGAAATTTGATTTGATTTGTTTCTGTAAACCAATGGATTATGTGACTTCTTTTTCAGAATTTTGGGTTCCAGCTTCGAACATTACGAAGAAATTTGAAGAACCGATCCTTTCTGACGAGGAGAAAAAAGCTCAAGAAGAGGCAGAGATAAAAAATGAAGAAGAGGTGATGCTGGGAAAAGCTGATCCACTTCCAAATGACGATATGGTATATTACGATCCTGAAGACGAAAAAATCAAACATATGAAAATGGAAAATACAGAGGCGTCTGCTAGCTTCGAAACCAAAGATTTCGACAGATTCGTTCCTGAGACGGCGACCACAAAAGATGAAATATTCATCCCAGAAGACATGAAACTGCCATTAATTGACGAAAAATATTCAAATCCGAAACAGGAAATGAATCCTATTAATTATTCCGTAGACACAGAGAGTTCTGATATGGGAGAGAACTCTTTTGATGTTAAAATGGAAGTCGTGCAGGTGAAACCAGACACGGAATCTGGATACGTTAAATCCACCAAAGCTCCTGTCATGCTGCTGAATGAGAAAATTTCGGGGTTGGTTTACGAAGTAATCAGTAGTTCCAATGATCCTAAGAATCCGGAATTTGAAATGAAAGTGACAGTCCAAGGAGAAGATTATACAGCCAGAGCCAAATCTAAAAAATTAGCGAAGCAGGAAGTGGCTCGTCTACCATTGATGAAATTATTCAAGATCGTCTGTGTCCCTGGTGAGTAAGGTTTTTATATATATATATATACAGATTCAACAGGAAGCTATGCAGATGTTGTGCAATACTCCATGGTATGCATCTGGGTCACACCAGGGATACATATGGGCTTCATTTTGGGCAATGTCTGGGATACAGCGGGATGACAACAGGGCAGCGTCAGGGTTTCATCAGGGAAGCTATATCTGGGCTACAGCAGTCCTATACCAGGTCCTGTATCAGGGTAACATCTGCAGTACATCTTGACTGCATCAGGGCTACAACTGGGCTACATCAGGGATAAATATGGGTTTTTTCAAAGCTACATCAGGGCCACACCATAGGGCTACGCCTGGGATACATATGGGTTTCTTCAAAGCTACATCAGGGCCACACCGTGGCTTCAAAGGGCTACAACTGGGCTACATCAGGGATAAATATGGGTTTTTTCAAAGCTACATCAGGGCCACACCGTGGCTTCATAGGGCTACACCTGGGCTACATCAGGGATACATATGGGTTTCTTCAAAGCTACATCAGGGCAATACTGTGACTACATCTGGGTTACAAATTATAGAGATCCAAATTTTGTTGGAATGGCAAACATTCCATCTGTATATCATGTCTGAATTGTGTGGGTACATTAAATTAATCTTAGGTTAATATCTATCTATATGTATATATTTATGCATATTGTCAGGGAACAGTATATACAAAACCTTCTGATTTATTTTATTCATCATAGGAGTACAAAGATATTGCATCGTACAAGTTAGGATATTACAGTCAAATCTAAAACTTTTAACACAGTGCTATACATCCGAGTTTTTAGGAACTTCTTCACTCTTAATACCACCGACCATTTGTTTATGATGGGAACCATTTCATGCACGTATGATTTCTTTTTTTGAATTTCTAATGAGGACCCTGTGATGATTAGTAAAACGTCAATTTTTATTAAAGTTGAATGAGTATATAATCTACAATACCAAAACCACCTAGCAAATATTGGATTCTTGTTTTTCTCTCGATCTTATTTTGAAATATTTATCCGTCATTTCAGTTTTTAAATTCTCTTTCCCTGATGAGAAGATATTGCATGATAAATGTTAGATACTGGTACTTTGTTACTTACTTAAAATAGAAGTTTAACACGTGAAAAATTATTTGTGGTAGGTTTTGAATAAATGGAGTTGTGTCCCTTTCATTATAATCCACAAGACTGATATATATAAACTGTTTGTATTAGACTACAGAACAAATGAAATGATTAATGAAAAGATTTTAGATTTGTAATAGACTGAAGGCTGTACAGGGTAGTGTATGCTTACAGCCAGTTCCTGAATCTAAAAAAAGAAATACTTTAAAATCTAAAGCTTAGATCTCTGGTCAGACATGACTGGTAAATACAATCAAACCAAAAGTCTGGAGCTCTAGTCAGACATGACTGGTAAATACAGTCAAAGCAACAGTCTATAACTCTAGTCAGACATGACAGGTAAATACAGTCAAATCAACAGTCTAGAGCTCTAGTCAGACATGACTGGTAATACAGTTGAATCTGCAGTATAGAGCTCTAGTCAGACATGACTGGTAAATACAGTCAAATCAACAGTCTAGAGCTCTAGTCAGACATGACTGGTAATTACAGTCAAATCAACGGTTTAGAGCTCTAGTCAGACATGACTGGTAATACAGTTAAATCTGCAGTATAGAGCTCTAGTCAGACATGACTGCTAAATACAGTCAAATCAACAGTCTAGAGCTCTAGTCAGACATGACTGGTAATTACAGTCTAGAGCTCTAGTCAGACATGACTGGTAAATAGTCAAATCAACAGTTAAGAGCTCTAGTCAGACATGACTGGTAAATACAGTCTAGAGCTCTAGTCAGACATGACTGGTAAATAGTCAAATCAACAGTTTAGAGCTCTAGTCTGACATGACTGGCAAATCATCAATCCTGTTACATGACATTAAGAAAGTTCAGTCTAACCTCTAAGTTAATATACCAGTGGTATCTGATTACAACCATTGTTGTAACAGCTAATGATAATGATGATAGTTTATATTCAAATTATCAGTTTTTTTATTCTGATACCTGCCAAGTTCAACATTTACTTGTCTTGTTAGAGTCTGAATTATTTCCATTCCTCTCACATTATTCAACTTAAAGAGACGTTCTCCTGAAAGTATTGATTGCCTTGATTTCAAAATCTTACCAAGATTCTTTTGTTGTAATTCATTGGATTGTGAATTTGAGAACTGATTCACGGAAATGTTTATATAACTCAGATTTTAGTTACTGGTTAGATTTCAAATTCTTACTTTTATGTACTGTTTTGTTGTATTTATTTGGATTTTGAGTTTGGATATGCTAGAAAAACAGAAAACTCTCTGATGTGATTTCTACATTTTACTATTTTGTTTTGCTGTATGTATTTGGATTTTGAAATTAGAAATTGTGATTTAGTAGATGTGAGCATACGGAATCTAAAGAGACATTCCCATGAAGGTATTGATTATCTTGGCTTGAATCTAAGCCAGAACTTAAATGTCAAATTACAATTTTATTACCTGAAATCAACTGGTATTTAGGTGTCAAAAGCTGAAATTTTTGGGGAATGCATTTTAATCTTGAATATATGTTAATAATCTTCAGAAATTCTGCCAGTCCTACTGTAAATTCTCTCCCTTTTCCTTCTCCTTTTACTTGTCTTACTGTTACTTGCACTGGGGCCTGTGAAATTTATCAATTACCAATTTTGTTAATTTACTTAATAATCTCGTTTTTCCTCAAATTTTTAAATTTTACCTGTAAGATTTTTATAGTTAATACTTACACTTCAATTTCAATTTGTTCACATAATTACCTACAAATCTTAACTAGTTATTATAAAGATTATGTTAGAAATTGTTAAATAAGTCTTTTTTTTTTTTTAAACAAAACTCGTTTCAAATGAAAGTAATCCTGTTCTCTTTTCCTAATTAGTAATCATGTTACCTAGTAACAATATTCTTACAATGTTTTTAAAGGGAGAATTACCAGAATTGTGGGATGATGAAATATTTTGTGTTTCACATGAGTTATGGTTCTTGTATAAATTCTCTTGTTTTCTGAGTAAACAATATGATACAAAGTGGATGTATGAAATTCAACATTATTAGAAAAGAGGTGTGGCTATCTTTACTTATGATTATTGATGACCAAGTTGAATGAATATTCATGAATTAGCCACACACTCTGATACCGGCATGAATATTTATGAGTTAAAGCACAAGTTTCATGATGTGGGTGTGTCTTTATTAACTAATGAATATTTATGAGCTAAAGCACAAGCTTCATGATGTGGGCGTGGCTTTATTAACTAATGAATATTCATCAGTTACAGCCCAGGCTTCATGTTGGTGTGGCTTTTTAAGTAATAAATATTTATGAGTTAAACTGCAAGCTTGATATTGGCACGATTTTATTATCTTATGATTATATAAGCGACAAGCATTTTGATGTGGACATGGCAAGCCACAAGCTTCATTATGTGGGTGTAACTTTAATGAATATTAATGAAGTAAACTACAAGATTTTTTGGCACAACTTTATATGAATATATAATATGATGTGGGTGTGGCTAGATTAGCTAATGAATATTTATTGGCACAACTTTATATGAATATATAATGTGATGTGGGTGTGGCTAGATTGGCTAATGAATATTAATGAGATAACAAAGAAGATTGATTAGCTGAGAAGAAAACAAGCGAGCCAGGTTTTTTGACAAGATGGTATAGAGAATTTGACATGTTAGAAGTTTGTTTTAACTCTAGTATATTTTCTTTCTAGTTTACATCATAATATGTACTACACTACACTTCACTTTACATAGTTTCTAATAGTTGGTCTGATATCTTACTTCTCACTCTTCTATTGTAATTAATGCATTTCAATATCTTACCAAGAATCTTTTGTTGTAATTCATTGGATTGTGAATTTTAGTGTGAGAAATCATTCAAGGAAATGTTGATATAACTCATAACTTAGTTTAGTTATAATTTGTATTTTTTATTGTTACTATTATGTTATATATAATTGGATTATAAATTGATATATTTTACTGTTGCTTTGTTGTCTGCGATTGGATTTTGAATTTGGAGTTATATATTGAGTTGTGAAGCAATCATTGACAATGTGAGAACTTGGATAATTTTGAGACTAATGGAAGCTGGGAAAGTGTTTCTGCTGTGCGGGTGTATAGCTTTTCAAGTGACTGAGTGTTCTCTGTTGGAATATAGATATTATATTGATTTGAGTTGATTACAAGATGAAGACTGATATATACTCATCAAAAACACTATACAGAATTCATTATTAAACAATATATAGACTAATACAGTAGACAGTTGTTGATATGAATTTATTAATACCATTATACAGGAATAAGTTTTCAAGTTTGTGAATTTATTCAATAAACTTTGTCTCTCGAAATTTGATCTTGTGAATAGACTTATATTTTACAAGGATAATAACTTAGATTCACAGTTAAGGATCTTTTCTACCAGCTGGTCCTTGGCCAAACTTCTTGGCTTTGATCTTATACAAATACAGGAAAAAAACTTCCAAGTTTGTGAATTTTGCTGAAAAACTTTGATGCTTGTGAATTTTGCCAAAAAACGTTTTTGTCTCTGTAATATAACAGGTGCTTGTTTTAAATAGTATTTGTTGGATCTGAGAACCACTATGAGTAGTAACACTATAATTATGGGATATCCCTGGTCTTCACAATATTCAGACTATTTTAAACATCGCTATTTTATTTTCGGTAAGTTTTTTTCTCTTATCATGCATGTTTCTGGACTTCTGAATCTAGCGATTGAAACGAATACACCCCATGAAACTTTGTACAATGAGGCTTATCAATAATTTCATCTGTATTATAGATGTTCTTTATTTATATTTAAAATATACTGAGTCCTTAGTCATTGATAACATTCTCCTCTGTTGAAAATCTTACCAATGTATAAATTTACAAAACAAACTTTTTAAAATGACCAAGTAAGCTTGTTGATTGGCTGGTTTGAAAATCATGTGACATCATGAACATTTGTTATCCAAGTCACCTAATAAGATGGTTCTTGCTGAAATAAAACAGGGTAGAAATGTGTAAAAAAAA